TGTCTGCACCAGGGAAACCAAAGCACACCCTAAGGGCAACAGCTGTGCCTGTCACCCAGATTGAAAGGGCCAGCGAGCATGCTGGGAAAGGGTAAGTGCACACTTAGGGCTGGTCATAAAGGCAACCACAGCTGCTAGGGAAGCGGGGTAAACTCCCACCTCCCTGCGGATTTCCAGCCACAGAACCTTTTGTCTGTGCTCAGTATTCAAGGGAGTTACACCGGCCTTTCGGCTTGGCCTGACATGCCCCTGTAGCAAATACATCAAATAATTATAACCGCCGCAGCCTGCTCTTATCTAGCACTGTCCACACGTAGATCTCAAAGCATCAGAACGAAGGCAGGGCAGATGCGTTCTCCCCACTTCACAAATTTCAGTTTTCCACAATCAGGAACTGAAACATTTTGGCTAGGAAAAAAAATGCAAAATAGGGGGGGCTGGTTCTGATAAAAATCCAAACAATTGAATCACAGACAGTTTGGACCAAAAAAAGCCACTTGCCCGCAGCGAGTCGTGTGGGGAAGTGGCAGTGGTGGAACGAGGGACGAGAACTGGGGCCCAGTTCGGGGCTCCCCGCGCCAAGTCCTTCATTGCAGTGATCTGGCCCCCATCCAGTTGTCTCGGCGCAGATGCCAAGGCCTCGGAGGGCCAAGGGCAGCATCTGCCCTCCCTCGTCATTGGCAGGGCAGGGCGGGAGAAGCTGCCTATGTGATCCCTGTTCTGGAGACGAGCGGAGGGCCGTCAGCACAGTGCTGGCAGGAATCCACACCCAGGGTCCAGGCCTTGGCCCTGCTGCCACTCACCCCAACTCAGGGTCCTGCCCGCTACCAGCGCTGCTGCCAATAGAGACAGGCATTTGGGCACCTGGCCCCCAGGGGGGACTGCTGAGAGTTAGGCCCGTGAAGAGTTAACGGCCAGGTGAGGCGAGGTCCCAGGGGCAGTTCCCGGACGGGTGCGTAGCCCTGGTAAGTTGCCATAGTTACAGCCCAGCCACTGCTTGCTTAGGTGGCAGGAATGATCCCGGGCTCTAATTGGGTGGGGGCAGGGGAATTTCCTAGCCCTGTCGTTCTCGTTAACCCCTTTGCTGCTCCCCGGCCGTCCCTGTGCACCAGCAGTGGGTCCTCAGGTAGATCATCCAGAGGGGGCAGGAGCCTCCTGGCAGAGGACACGGTGGGATAGCCCGGCCTGCAGCAGTGAAGGGGTTAATGGCACAACTGCTCGCTCCTGGGGCAGGGAGGAGGGTGACCCTAGAAGGGGAAGGATCCACCCCAGGCCCTTCAGGGGAGTTTGTCTGGAAGTGCAAAGACCTTTTGGGAAAAACTGGAGGAGTCAGGGTGGTGAGTACTCGCTGTTACCCACCAGGCACCATTCCGATCGGTAACCACCCTGGCCCAGAAATACCCGCGAGTACTCACTGCTACCCACCAGGCACCGTTCCGATCGGTAACCACCCTGGCCCAGAAATACCCACGAGTACTTGCTGTTAGCCACCAGGTACCATTCCCATCAGCAATATCCCCTAAGTAGCATCCAGAACCCATCAGAAAAGCCTGCTGGGGCCGTGTGCTGTTGAGCTGGGTACCAGAAAGATGGTGACCGCTCAGGCTGTGAAAGTATCTCCAGGGAAGCCCCGGTCCCTTGAGCCCAGATGAGGCCCTGCGGGGAGGTGGTGGTGGGAGGGAAAGGGCAGGGGCTCCCAAGTTTAGATCACAAATGAAATGAATTTGTTGATTTCATTCCAGTCTCTGGGGCATGTCTGTGCCTCTGAACCTCCATGGGGTTTGGCGGCCTGGCAAAGCAGAGGGTGCAAGGACCCGGGGCAGTCATAGAGCTGGGGGTGGGGAGCCCAGGACTGGGATAGTGGGGGCAGGAGATACGGGCTGGGACGGAGGGGCTTCAGCAGAGCTGGGAGGTAGGGGGGCCAGGACTGTGACAAACACCCAAATCTACGTTCTTGTGCTTTTGTCTCTAGTAGGATTCTGGGGATGGGCCGAGGGATAATGGCTGAGGGGGGCGGGGGCAATAAGTAACTGCTAGGCTGAGGAGACATGGGACCCCGGAGCACAGGGGATAGAGCAGGGCTAGGGTGCTGTGCATATGCTCTACTGAATGTTATTTAAGGATCAAATAGCCAGCGGAGAAATACATGAGTCATGACAGGGCCAGGCAGCCAAGTTTGAACAGCAGCAGGGAAATGAATGGGGCTGCTACTGGCCTGCGGGGCTGCCCAGAGGTGGCGAAGGATTAATAAAAGTGGCAGTTCCCCTCCCCCCCATTTGAAAGGGCCCCCAAACCGAGTGGCATTGGGCCCTGATGCACAGGGCTAAGCCCGGCTCCCCACTCCTGTTCCAATGACACAGGGTAGGGAGGGGCATGGCCGTGCAGTCAGAGCACGGCTCCTTCAACCTGCCACGGCAGACGCTCTCACAGAGATGCAGTTCAGTTAAAGTTATTCAGCAAACAAGGCAGAGCCTGGGGCTGCGGGGCTCTGTGCTGAGGGCGGGGGGGGGTTGCGGTGACATCTCCCCCAGCAATGCCATCTCTCACTACTCATTCTACTCATTGCCAGCTGGCCCAGAAGCACAGCTGAGAGAGAGGGGCAGGACCCAACAAAGCAAGCTACTGCCACAGCAAAGAGTCCTATCTCCCATCCCTTCAGCAGAGCACTAGGCAACCACCTGCCTCTGGAACAGGGAGGCAGGAAGCACTGGGTACAAGGTTGAGTCCGGGAGGCTAGGACTAGAGGCCAGAGCCCAGCTAGCCAAGCCAAAATGCAGCCCCTGCAGAGCGAGGGGCAGCGGCTGCCTGGAGCAGGATGTGCCAATGGCTGTCAGGCCCGTAGCGCAAGGCCCAAGCCTGACCAGCCCGAAGCTCGCAGGAGTGGGGGTTTCTAAGCCTGCTTCTAGAGCTCTCAGGTTGCGGTGCCGGTCCCAGGAGGTACTGCAGATCTCCCACCCCCAGCCCTGGAGAGAGGGGGCTGTAGCAGGCCAGCTCGCCGTGAACAGGGTGTCCTCATCTTACTGCAGGAAGAGAAGACACTCCGCTGCTCCATGGCTGGGGTCCCGTGGCTGAAAGAGACAACTCAGGGCTACCAGAACCCACCCGGGTGATCAGGACAACTTAAGGGCCCGAGTCACTAGACAGAGACACACCAACTGCGTTGGCCACTGCCAGATACAGGCTAGAGTACATGGCCCAGGGACCCTAGATAGGCCAGGCCATGAGTCTGCTCTTCCTGCCCCAATCTAATAATGCCCCACCTCAGTGCCAAGTTCACTGGCTGATGAATGCTTCCGAAGTACTCCAGCAAGTCCAGCCAGAGGTGATGCAGAGGCCCCCACGGGACAGGTGGGTGCTTCCCCTCAGCCACAGCGCACGCTCTCCCCGTCATGTCTAACCGCCTTGATAAATTGCAATTAATAAGCAGGGAGAAGTTTAAGCACCGCTCCAGTGAGCTTTCTGCTTTGCTGGACGCAGCCAGAGCCAGCAGAGGAGATCAGCCCCAGGAGCAGCGCAGAGGGAAGCCCAGCACTGCTGCTTCCTCTCCACTTGCTCAGCTCTGCTGAGTTTGCAAGGCAAGACAGGTCAGTCACCTCTAATGGGCCAGCTGAGGGGGGAATCCAACTCCTCTTACCACTTCCGGCCTCAGCTCCCCCCCCACCACCACCACACACACAGCAGTCCCTTCCCCACTTGACCGAGGACACTGATATTCCCCCATGGTAGGGAAGGGACCAACGCTCACCTTGGTTTACTTCCTGGTTTCTGCAGAAGGTGGAGAGGAGCCCTAGGGCAGCATTGGGACTAGTGTGAGCTTCAGTCCTCTCTGCTACCCTTCCACCTCTTTCAAGGCACCGTAATTCTACACCCCCCTACTGGTCCAGGCCAGGGTCGCCCCCACGCCTCTGCTCCTCAATCCCGAGTGCAGGGCTAGGCAGAGGCAGAGACTGCCACCCCACTCAGGTGAATTTTAGCACTGGCCAGGGACAGACCTCAGCCAGTTCAGTCCTTTCTCCACACCCCTCAGCGCTGTAGAATTGGGCTGGAAATCTCTGGACGAGCCAGGAACAACAACAAAAAGCTGGTTTGGGCGCAGGTTAGTACTTCTGCTACTCGGCAGACACAGACAAGCAAGGGGCCCTAGCAGGGGGAGGGGTGTGGGAGCGTTATCCAGACCTTTACAACAGGATGGATCAGCTCTGGCAGTTCTTAAGTTTACCCAAATGCACTCCCCACTTCTGTTTTTTGACCCAGGACAAAGGTTCCCAAGACCCAACTTAGAAACAAAAAACTCATTTTCATTTGTAACCAAAGCTGCATTGGAAGTTAAACCTCGAGTTAAATGCATGAGCCTCTCTCCTCGGCAACCCCTCCAAGGTAGGACAGTCATAGAACATCAGGGTTGGAAGGGACCTCAGAAGGTCATCTAGTCCAACCCCCTGCTCAGAAGCAGGAGCCATACCCAATTAAATCATCCCAAACAGGTCAAACAGGGCCATTTCTCTCTGGCCTTCAGAAAGCAACTCAAGCTTTGCTGGTAAAGCTCACAGCAGTAGCCCATGAACAGCTGTTGAAATAGGAACCAATAGCTTCATATTTGATCTGTGCCATGCAAGTGCTGGAGGGGACTTAGAATTCTTCTTCCCATCCCAGCTCAAGGTCACTGCTGGTGGGAAGGCTGTAAATTTCCCCTCGAATGTAGCCCTAAGAAAAGGCTCATTAAACAGAAACTTCTCTAGGCACACTTAAGGGAGATTTCAAACCACTTCAGCTCCCCCTCCATTTTTTCCAAGGACCAGTCTCAATTGATGGAATGCAGTGGTGAAGGGCCTGAATGCCACATTGTCTACAGAGGAATAAGACAAGAGAATTTCAACCATGCTTGGCCCAAAAAGAATCCAGTCAGGAAGCTGTCAGTGTTGACTCCTGTGATCTTGAGTGGGAACAGTTTTTCTGCTTCCTTGAACAGATACATACGAAGGAAGGGAAGGGGGAAAATATGCCAGCATGATCCAAAGGCTTTATTTCTTCAATAGCTTACAGGTTGGGATTTCCATTTTTAATATTAGATTAAAACAAAAATAGGGAGCTTTTCACACTAAAAGGAGAGGGAAAGATGCTATCGTGTATTTCTCCCTGCCCTTGTACCAGCTGGATTTCTTTGAACTCTTGGGGATAGGGGAAGGGGCAGGACTGTTTCGGTCATCCTGTTTCTGAAACAAGTTGGAGTAGGGTGCAAAGAGGACAAAGGTTAATGTGAAGAGTATCCGTCTGGATATGAAGCCAAAGCAATAGGTGAGCTGCAACTAAAAGGGTTTTCAATGCAAACCTTACGGTCTCTCCAAGCTCAGATCAGAGCCTCTTCACAGCTACCACAGTGCATGAGCAGCCACTTGAAATGCAACAGCAAGCGGGCATGTGTTTGGCCACTCCTAAAAAGTGCAGCAGGTGGAGAGATTGCCCTCTGTGTTTAGTGCCATTAAAAGAAATCCCCACCCCTGCAGGTTAGCAGCTAAGGACTCCACAGAAAACCTCCCTACACCTTCCTACTGCAATAGAGGCCAGCCCTAAACTTGACCTGTGTAGTCAGATTTCCATCCAGGGCAGGCACAGATTCAACCAGTGAAGACATTAGGAGAGGCTGCCTATAGGCTAGTGCTTTGTGGTAGGGGGGCGATGGAAGTGAGGGTCATGAGCTGGCTCATGGAGCAGCTTTACAAAGAATGTCATCCCCAGCTGAGCACGGTCTCCTCATTCACCCAGCAAGCAGGTTAGGATTAAATGCCAGATTACAGCAGCATAGGCTTGACATGCCAGAGACATGGCATGGGTTGGGGCTGGGGCTGGAGCTGATTGCAATCATGGAGCATAAGCACAAAGGCAGGGTGATGGCCTTGGACCAACCTCGTGAGGTTTTAATTTCAAAAGGAGGTGGTTAGAACACAGTTTGGCAGGAACAGGGGGAGGTAAGCATTGTACCTTTAATGTGAGGGCTAGAATTCCACCTTAGCACGAAGCCCTTTCAGCTGCACGCCTGGTGTTTCCAGGAGCACGGCAACTCTTGCAAGGGAATTCTCAGCCTTTTGTTTCAGGGTGGATATTTTATTACCTAGCTTCAATACTGCAGAAGGGAGAGGGTTAGGACTATTAACAAAACACAATGGCACTGCTGATTGGGCCAGCGAGCAGAGTTTAAAGGGCTCCTGGTGAAGGGGTGTGTCTAGGGCAACACAGAGCAGGGTGTCAAACTGGTGCTTTCACGCAGTAGGTGGGAGAAAGTCATTTTGACCCCTTGCGTTAGTTGCCATGGTGCAAGATCCACATTTCCCTTTCGAGAGGAAAACGCACCCCAGGCTACAAGAGGCCCCAGTCTTCCCGGCTTAAGACTGCTCTTCATGTGTAGTGTTCTCTGAAGTCCCATTCTGATCTCCCGCTGCAAAGCTCTAGGATTCCCACACATGGGCTGCGGGGAACTCTGTGTAGAGAAGTGATAGCACCTTACACTCTGCAGCGTTAGGGAGGCAACTGCACTGTGCTAGGTCATCAAGGTCCTTTGCTTTTCCCTTGGAGATGGAAGGGAAGGCAGAGAACGACAAGTGGCTGCACTGGAAGAGTTTCCTCTAATACTGTTCATATCCTTCGATTCCACTCCCTGCCCCCGCTGTGTCACTGACTGACACCGAGGAAACAGCAGTGGGCAACTGCAGGCAGGATGGTGGCTTAGCAGTTAGGGTTAAAACCCACTCCTAGCCCATTACCTCTTCCCAGAACAACCTAGCGCTGCTTGACCTGTGGCCCAGAGCAGATGCCTTCGTCACGCTGTTCTCTTGCCACATGTCACCAGTTCAGCATTGAGAGGATTCTTGTAAACAAGGTGTTAGGGCAGCTACAAGAGAGACTGGGATAAAAAGAGAACACTTCAGTTTGAATGGGAGAGGGGCTTAAATGTGGTGCTGGGCAGCTCAGATGTCTAGACAGTCATGGATGGTGCTGGGAGCGTCCATATGGCAGTGCCAGATTTGGTACAATGCTCTGAGCTCTCCGGGGGGGGGCAGGAGTGACACTTCCAAAAGGACTACCACGATTTTCAAAGTTAAAGATAGAGTTAATCCGTCCGGGTTGCTTTGGCCCAGCTGCCTAAGGATATAAAAAACGGGCTGCTCTGGAGAGGTCTGTATACAACGGACAGTTTCAGAACATCTGCAGCAGGCAAGGCTCCAGCCAAAATCAGGGAGCCAGGCTCCCTGGGGCACCCCGAGAAGAGCTGCACGCATCTGTTTGGATCAGGAAGCCTCATGTTTAATTAGGAGTCCAACAACAGGGCACAAAAGAGATGGAGAGGGGGCAGGGGGAATAAATGAGGCAAGGTTCCTGGGTGGCCTTGTTTTCTTACGTGTTTGAAGGAAGCCCTAGGGCCTCAGAGGGATGGCTGGCTTCTTTCCAGTTCTATTTTTGGCTGTTGTAGGTCATGTGCCTCTGGTTCATTGGGTTGTCTGGGGACCTCATCCACTCCTTCTTGAGGAGCTGCTTGAGCTGGGAGAGGCGCATGTTGGGGTTCTCCTGCTTTAGGCGTGGCAGATTGATCTCTTCAAACGTGGCAAAGGCAGCTTTCATCCGGCGCTCTGGGTGACGGTCCAGGTCGTCAGCAACACTGTGAGGAGAATTAAAAAGGGGGAATACTACTAGAAAAAAGAATCTTAGTCGCTTCTAGCTGGCACCAGCTCAGCCCAGGCCCTGGGGAATAACCCTAACCTGGTCAGAGCCTGGGCTAGATCATTGGCCTGGTCCAGTTCTAACCACATCATCTATGGCTGAGTTTCCTTAGCAGTGACAATGTCTGGAGGATACTTCAGTCAGAAGAGCAATGCTGGAAAGACACTCTCTGACATAGCAGCTCTGCTCCCCAGGCATCTCCAGTCTGCCCACTCAGACACAACAGCTCTAACCCCTGTGCAGAACAGTAGACAGAGCGCCAGGAAAGCAAACTGGAGTCTTTTGTGCCTTCTGCATCAAACAGGGGGGTTGGCAGAATTCAGCTGGTGGGATCTTCACCACCCAGGAGGACATTGGAAGCAGAAAGAGGACAGCTGGTTTTTCTGATCCCAGGGGAGTTTCAAAAGGAGGCCTTAGCCCCATTTGTAAACGCAGTAAACGGAATACCTCCGAGGACAAACAAAAAGCAATGATGCTCCCCCCCTCATTCTGACTGACCATGTGTGACATTATCTGATTAAAATATGACCATACAGGTCATGGTTGCAACCACTGTGTACAATATTTGCAGCAAATATTGCACAAAGGTTGTCGAGTGAAGTGGCGATGAAAAGGTTAGGACTGACTGGTTATGATTATGCTATCTGTCTGCATGTATCATTTTTGTATGGGAAGTTATAAGTATTGGCTCTAGACCTGGATTTCAATTGTTGGCTCCTGGGGTACTGCTCACAAGGTAGCACCCAGCACATCTTGGAGGGACTATTCATATGGAGTGGCCCATCGAAAGAACATTTAACAGGCCATGGGAGACGCCCCTCTACACTTAATGGAATGTCCTGCTGTGACTAGGTGACACGCATGGACATGTGACTTGCCCATGAGACTCCAAACTCCATCTTGTTGCTGTAATTTTCCACAGTAAGAACAATGGGATTCCCTCCACATGGCAAAAGCTATAAAAGGCCCTGGAAACACCTCCATTGTCTTCAGTCCTGCTTCTTACCTCTGGAGGAACTTTATTCAGAGCTTCACTTTGTAGCAAAGGACCAAATGACCCATCCAAGCTGTGAATGTACTCCAGAGACTTGACTTAAGCCAGCAGTTTATTCCATCACTGCTACAAGCCTGAACCAAGAACTTTGCCATTACTGTACATAATTGATTCCTTTAACCAATTTTAACTCACCTTTTTCTCCCTTTTTTAAATAAGCAAACCTTTAGATTTTAGATACTAAAGGATTGGCATCAGTGTGATTTTTGGGTAAGATTTAAGTTATATAGTGACCTGGGTGTGTGGCTGGCCCTTTGGGATCAGAAGAACCTATTATTTGATGAGACTGGTTGTAAAGAACCACTCATACCACCACTAAAAACACTGGATTCAGAGATAAGAACTGGAATGCCTGAGGAAACTGCCTTTATGTTTTCTTGTTAGCCAGTGCAGGGAAACAGGAGTTTACTTTTGTGGCTGGTTTGGTATATCTTATAAAGGAATAGCCACCAGTTTAGGGCTGCGTTTGCCCCATTTCTCAGCAGTTGGTCCTGAATTTGGCATCCTCAGTTGTGACCCATTAAGGCCCGGTTACACCGTGCTTTTGGGAAGTTTTGCTTTTTGGGCAGGGATTAGAGGGTGTGCAGCAGGAGGCTGATGGACTTGCCTTGTTCTTGCTGCATCAGAGTGGGACAGCTACATTTTTAAGTGTTAAAAAACACCCAAAGATGCCTGGGCTGGCACCTTCATGGCAGGGTTGCTTCTGGGGAATCTCTAAGGAAACCGGCCCCTCCAAAGGAAGCACCATGAAGCTATGGCCAAATACCTGAGGACTGCAATAGCATCTTCAATAGTTCTGGCTTCCACGGTGCCTTCCTCCAACACTCTTCTGTTGATGTTTTCCTCCAAGGGAACATCAAGGTGGCTCTTCTGCTTCTCCACTGGAATAGGAAGGGGGAAAAAAATTCAGCTCCCAGCCAGATGAAGCCTTTAAGAGGTGCAGAATATTTGTTTGGCTGGCACTCTGGAGAAGGCCAATACCTCAAGGGTTAAACAAGTCTGGTGTACAGAGCGACACAACAGCAAGTTTACCCAGGATCCTGGAGAGTGAAATGCAAGTTTAATCGCCTAGGATTGGAACCCCTCCTCTCTGTCTGTGCTTGGAGATACTGGGACTAATTATACAGGCAGCAGCTAGGAGTCCCTAGCAGGGACACAACAAGGGTGCATCACTTGGACATGATAACTAGGGGTTCTCTGGCCCCCAGGACATCTTGTACTTCACCAAAGGCAGAAAGAAGTGGCTTGCTCTCTGGGGTGCTCACGAGGCCTGAGCAGCCCACCTGCGAGGCATACTAAACCCTCGGGCTAGTAGGGGACGTTCAATGGTATAATGATGGGGAAGCTGCAAACCTTCATCTCCGTTCTCCTTCTGTTGCTGGTCTTTCCGGATTGTGTCTTCAATCTGAGCCCTGGTGATCTTGCCTGGTGTGACTGATTTCGGTAACTTCCCTTTCAGCTTCGCATCTTCCTCTTCCAGCAGGCGTTGCATCTCCTTCTTGCGCTCCAGCTGCTCCAGCCGGCGCTTCTCCCTCTCCTCCTGGAAGGGAGAGACAATGTGAGGTCACTTCCTGCCCCAGGCCTCTTGTCCCACAATGCCCACTTCCAGCATCAAATCAGCCACTCTAAAGCAACCTAGGATCACAGGAGACGGAGATGGAAGACACTCATTTTGATTCAATCAAGTCCACCCTCCTGCTAGGGCCAGAGAGAAAATGACTTGTATGGAGATGGGCATCTTCATAATCATAACCCACTTGCTCTCCCTGCCCCTCACTCCAATATACACCACAGCCACCAAGCATGGACAACTGAGTCATCTGCTTACCACCTTTTCCACTCAGAGCAAGATGCTCAAGAATGGTTTTAGAGCGAAGCCAGAACATGAGAGGCACTTGGTAGCTCTGCTACATGCAGGAACATGAGAGATCCTTTGTTTATATCCAGAGATCCCCTAGTTGCTAGGTCGACATGCCACCAAGCACAGGCTGCATTTGGATTAGGAAAACCATGCTGAAGGAAATTGGCGCCGGTCTACATTTAGGACAAGTAATAAAACACGGGAAAACAAAGGTACCCAGCCTTTAGAGCGATCATTACAATAGTGCATCACCTGCAGCGCAGCGGGGGCTGTGGGGGTGTTAAGGCACCTCTTTAGCACACTGCTGTTTTTATATTCACTCAGTAGTGTTTTAGTTTCAAACTCTAGTCTCCCATCAACTTCTGTTGAATCACCATCGTGAGCTGGGTGTCACTCAACAATGACCCCTGCTGGCTGCCCACCCAGTCATGAGAATAAGGGAATGTCCAATATGGGACAGCACATGGGGTCCCCACCAGTGTTTGCAGCAGAGTTCACTGAAGCTCTGCCAAACTTTATACTCTAGGCCCCTTCCCCAGGCCTCCTCACAAAAAGTGGGCCAGGAATTTTGCCCGTCATCCTGAGATTTCAAGGCCCATCTCAGAATCGTAATTAGATGAGGTAATTTCACACTCCATGCTTTTGCCAATTCCTCCCCCCAATCTTAATCTGTAATCATGTACTGTTCATTGTGATGTCAGCGTGGTGAAATATAACCCGTCAATGGGGAGAGATGCCGACCAAGACCGTTAATCAGGATAAGTTTTCCACAGTTAATTTTAATAAGAGTGAAAGGGTCAAAGTTGGAAAGTTCAGAAGTCTTGACATTCAGATCAAAAAGGCCCAACAGTTTCTCAGATTTCTCCTTTAAGAGAGAATCAAAAGGCTAATCTGAAGCAATTATTGTAGTCCTTAAGCAAGAAACACTGCCAATTTAACCCAAGATGTCGAACCTCCATTTTGCTGGCAAAGGCACTGCTAGGAGACAATAGTGCAATCATGCACTAGGATTTTAGCAGCTTTTGAGTTTTATTTTCATATTTGAGTCAAAGCCACAGACTGTTTCACAGCAAATAGCAACATCATTCTGTCCAGGTTGATTTTGTCTGCCAGGGTCACAAAGCGACTTCAGTCCCAATAGCAGTCCAGTACTTAGGTTAGTTAAGTGGCCAATTATGGGTCTCATCCATTATTCACGGGGATGGTACAGCTAACTATATCTGGCGTTATCATCATGGGTTTTGCTCTGAAAGGCAGCTGTGGAGTAGAACAACTGAAGAGGTAATGCACCCTGCCTTGTTCACCGTGTTTAAGGAGTATGGTATTATGCATGTCAGGGTATGGCCCACTTTAGAGACTGTAAATAAGGCTAGGTTTTAGAGCTACTTTGGAAAAAACAATTTTCATTAAGCCATTCCTCAGCTTGGGAGCTTAAGGAGGTTCAGACCAGACAGACAGACAGCAATATAAAATGTGCCCCTGGAGCCACCGTCTGATAAGGACTAAGCCTTTCAATCCAGGCGGAGAAGTAGGATACTAGCATACCTCAGAGTTAGAGCAGCTACAATCCAGGATGGAAAAAAGTCATTATGAGGATGAAGTTTATTACAATTGGCAGGCTTCAAATTCTGGCTCACTAAGTGATTTGTTCCAATGCCTTTGGAGAGGACATTACATTGTTCTAGCACTTGGCTCAGCCAGTCCTGGCCTGTCCCAGCAGGAGTCATCTCCTAACACATTAAGTAGGTTCCCTGGCTCCCATAAGAGCTGGATGAGCCCACTTGCTTTACGTTGCATCTCTCCATTCCGTTTCTTGATCTTATTTGAGCAACTGCCTTAGATGAGTGGGTTCGCCAGACTCCATTAAAGAGGGAAGAGCATCACAGATAGAAGGGTCTTTCCAGATCATTTTCATTAATGCTTTAAGTTCAAGGTGAACAACCAAAACTAAAAGCCATTCATTGTTTTTCTACTGGCTCTGATGCAAGAACAGATTCACCCATCAGCATTTAACCCAACAGCAGATGGCAGAATGAACCCAGCTCTCCTGGCAGCAGACCACTGCAGAGTGGACACGGCTAAGAAGGACTGTGGCAGTAGCCAGCAGGTGTGTCACAAAGGTACTATTTCTGCTGTCACTACACTTCGTTCTCTCTGGCCCGGATACTGCCCTTTCCTCTGCAAGCCCAAATCTCTTCAATTCTTGCCTGATCTCATGCAAGTCAAACACGCCCTCCTGTAGGAGATTTTCCCCTAAGTGTCCACTGCCCAAACCCCTGTATCTCTGGGCAGCTAGAAGAATTCACTGCAGGGCTGCTTTATGGGATTTTTTGTGGTTTTTGTTTTTTTTTTTTTTTTAAAAAAAAGCTTTAACAAGATTTTTAACTAAGTACTTCTGACTTCAATAGCAGATGGTTTTCCTACTAGTACCAATTGCTTACTACGAAGCTGAAGCCTGGCCATGCCACAATGAAGGATTTTAAAGCCCTCATTACAAATTCAGATTAAGCTAAGAAGAGTCAATTACACATTGAGGTTCTCTGCTGTAGGAAATATGACTTGCAGTTGGATTTAAAACCCCCACATATGGTCACAGTTAAACACAAGTGGAGCTCTCCATCCTGACACAGCAGTTTGTTGGTGAACCACTGTGCATCCAAAGCCACGTTTCCAGGCCACAGCTGTGAGAACTGACAGAGTTGGTCTGCATCCAGCAGCCCTCATCCTGCTTAGCTACAGCTGCCGTTTCTTTGTAAACCCCACAAGTAATCTGGAACTTTTTCCTAATTGCAGGGGACAGTTCTGATGAGCAGGTCCCGTATGAAATGCATCTCTTTCAAATCCCTGTCATGGTGCTTGTGTGCCTCTCAACAAGGCAGCCTGGAGGCAAAGGGTGGGGGGCAAAAAGGGATGGTTTACCCCAGGCCCCCATTTGAGAGAGCCTCAAACCCTGTGGCATTGTGATCTGGCAGACAGGGTCACAGCACCACTCACTGAGATTTGGCCCCATGGCCCCTCCACCATGACAGAGGGGCTGTGAGGCCAAACCCGAGTGGTACTGCTACCCCACGTGCTGGGTTGCAACCCCACTCACTGAAGTTTGCCCCCACAGCACTTCCTAAGCCTAGCTGAGCAAGTAACCACAGACAGAAGTCTCCCCTTGCATCTTTCCACTTCTCTGGAGTAAGGCAGCTCTGTTTAGACAGCTGACAAGCTGGGATTCCTGACTAGCCTGCTAGAATCTGTTTCAGCCTGTTCACAGCCTTCAATTCATTTTAAAAAGGTTAGTGTATGTGGAGAAACCAGGAACTTGAGAGATTCATCCCTGTATTTGCTCTGAATAAAGAGGAGCCATGCATACTCCTCATTTTACACAGATTTGCTGAGTATGAAATAGACCCATTCCACCAGTGCTGCAATTCCATTTCATGCGTTTGCTAATAAAAGCAGAGCAACAGACATTTGTTCCTCTTAAAGCTAACTGGGCACGGCTGCAGATACAGCAATGGTATCACGGGAGACAGCAGACTCTAGTGACGCTCCCGCTTAAGAGGTGATGCAACTTGTGTTTGTTCTTGCCTAGCTCTTCATTCCACATGCACCAGCTCCAAGGCCTCTCAATATTTTCAAGCAGCGACTCAGGGGAGCATACCCTGGTCAGACACATGCCTCCTCTAGGGAAAGGTCCAGGAACATGGATTAAGGTTGGCAAAACTGTTGCAGGAGCCACCTCGAACACTACGTCACATACCAAGAAGGGACAGGTGGGTCCATGGCAAGACAATGCAGATTGACTACTGTTGTATATAGTGGGAGCCCAAGCCCTGTGCTCTCTCTGCCACCTGCCTAAACGACCACTCAGTGGTTCCCTCTGCTCCCCATCAATATCACACTTGTAGGAACTACCATGTTAAAGTTCTGCCAGAGAAAGAAGAAATCACTGAACACACAGCTACCAGAGAGAGCGCATAAGTAATTTAATTAGTTAGACCTATAGCGAACACAGGAGAACCAGCAGTGTATTCATGATACTGGTGTTGTGTGTCTAGAATACGGATTACTGTAAAGCGAAACTATTCTCATACCGCTTTGTCCTATCTCTGATGGGCAAGTGTGACTGAACAAGGTAACCAAAAGAAATCCCTGGCACAGGAAGCACCTTTGTGATACTACAGGCCTGGCTGTAGATTTGAATAATTCAAGAGGCAGATAAGGAGCGGATATACAAGTGCTAATGAGTAAAGGGAGGGAACCAATACATTTCAGGACAGAAACATTATTTGCAGTTACAGAAAATTTATCTTTTACTCCCTTTGCTAGTAGGGTAACTTGTTTTACAAGACAGGTAGCTCAGCCACGTATTTCTACACTGCAACTCCACTCGTCTCACAGTACAGAAATCCAGGGAATGGTACTCTGCATTCCTATATCCCCTTTCAAAATAAGCTGCCCGCTTCTTTTTACAGGATGGGGAAGCTGAGGCAGAGAAGGGAAGCAACTTGTGCTCTCTTCCCTCCAGCTCATGCTGCAATTTAGTAGTTAAGTGGCTAGACCCCAGGAACGCTGACTCCTAGTTCCTTGCTCTGACCACTAGACAATATTACTCCCTGCTCTCTAATGTTTACAATTGAGAGGCTTCCACTTGCAGAAAGTAATCAAGCCCAAATCATTAGTAATCT